AAAGCTCACCGGAAGCACTTTTTCATCAAAACAAGATGGCGGCGCCCAGCAAACCAGCGGCCCGGTAGGATTTGTTCCACGGACCGGTACCGGTCCGCGGACTGGTGGTTGGGGACCCCTGCTTTAGGGCGTTCCTGGAAGTGAAATTTGTGGAGAAGAAATCAAGCCCCTGTCTTAGAAAGCTTCTCTGTATCCCTTAAGAAAAGTACCATTAGGACAGTTCTTTACTCAGATATGCATCTGAGTGGTCTGGTATAAGTTGGGGGTAAAAGCTATTTTTGCATGGTTTTTATCCAGATTGGACCCTAAACTTTGATCCCTGTAGTTTCAGTAAGACACAGAAAAGGCACAGGGAAGGGACCTGAAACAAATGATTTTGCAATTGTTTGTTAAGAGCTGCCTAGGATCAGCTGGACATCAGCATGTGAGACAGGAGGCCACCTAGATGCTTTAAATAAATAAATCCCATCATCCTTTTGGTAGGTTAAGGAGCATGGTCCACATTACTCTCTGCGGTAACTTCCTTTTAAGTTCCTTTTCTGAGCCCAAAATGAGTATGGTCAAAATACAGGTGGTTCCTCAAATTAACAACAATTTGTTTAGTGACTGTTCAAAGTTACAACTACACTGAAAAATGTGACATGTTTGGAGATTATTTTTTTAAAGGAACATAATGTCCCCATTTCTGTACTTTAACTTACACTCTCCCCATGCACCTAAACATTGTTCCATCCACCCTATAACGTCATGTTATTGTCAAATACCATCCTCCCATAATTCCTGAAAATTCCTGTGCCCATCTCCTTACAGCTCCCAACTTCCAGAAAGTTACACACCCTTGCAGTAGGAGTGGCAGGATTCGAAATGTCTTAACTACTCTTAAGGTCGAACTTTCTGCCACTGATTCTCCCAAATTTCTTTCCTGTGCTCCAAGTTCTTCGAGGAACTGGCTGTGGAGGAGAAACACTCCAGCGAGAATCATGCGGCAGAGAAAGAAAAGAAGGAGCAGCAACAGGCAAGTCATTTCCAAATTGTCCCATGGGGTAGGTCCTTGTGGTCAAGATGTTACTCCGTTGAGGGTAGTGGGTTGCCCATCCTTTGACCTTCTCTTTTTCTGTGTGGTGTGTGTTGTCTTTTGCTTGCAGCAGCTGCAACAGCAAAAGAAGAGGCGAGATAAGAAAAAAGAGCAGAAGAAAAAACAGGCAGCAGAAGAGGAGGATGAGGAGGAGAACCAGTTGATCGAGAGGTTGAAGAAGCTGTCTGCCCAAGCCAGTGATGAAGAGGAAGAAGGTAGGAGGCTGCTGTTTTCATTCTGCTTTTCAGACTCCTGTTAATTGGGGTCGGCCCTGAGCGCTTGCAACACTCCTTGACCTGGTATTGACCCCCTATCATATAACTTTACAAATGGCTGAGGCCTTGGGAGACTTCAAGGCTCCTGCCTGAGATCTCACAAGGTTTCAAGGATGAGGGACACTTTCCTGCACAGTTTCAGGCAAGTTTGCCAAGAAGCGGATGCGTTCTTCAAGACCACCATCCTCTGCCAGTTGGGATATGACTGGAATTGTAGTCCAAAGCACTTTGATTGGGGGAGACTAGAGCATGGCTCCCTAACCTGTGGGCTGCGGCCTGGGACCAGGCCACAGCCTGTTTGCAAGTGGCTGTGTGAGGGGCTGTCTGGCGTGCAGGCATGCTTCTCACTAGCCCCACTCACGCAAGCAGTCACGGCCCCTCTCTCATGAACATCACGGTCTCATGGCCCTGCTCGCGATTGTCACGGGAGCTTGAGGCCTCAGTCATGCGATTGTCACAGGCAAATTGAGGCCTCAATCGTGTGAATGTCGCAGGTCCTCATTTTCACAAGCATCACGGGCGCTCAGCCCCATTCACGTAAGTAACGGGTGCTCGCACGCATGCACTTACCCCTCCCACAAAACCCTTCCCTTTCTTTCCCCCTCCCCCCCTCTAGGCCACCAAAGGTTGGGGAACTCTGGGCTAGAGTAGGTCTTTCAGATTGTAAGCTTGATCCTGCTTACAGTCTCTCTCTAGATCACAACCCAATATGACTTTTTTTTTTTTGCTTCTCTTCCAGTGCCCATTCCTGTCGCCAAAGCAGGCAAGAAAAACAAAGTAAGTCTGTGGATGCTTTCAAAGTACTTCTTTGTGGACAAGAATGAGAGGTTGAAATGGAATGAGAACAGAATTTGGTTGCAGTAACTAACGCTTGCAAGCTTTAGCGCTCTCTCTCTCTATTGATTGAGTAATGCAACATACAGTATGGTGTTCTTCAAAGCTTATGCCCTCCAGTGAACATGGCGGTGCTTGAGTGAGCTCCATCTAGCAGCAGATAGTTTACTCATAAGCCACACTTCAGTTTATATGGCCCTTAAAGTCATTTTTAAAAAACTGGGGAGAGGGTTAGAAGGAATTATGAATAGATAATCAGAATAAACATAATTAACTTAAACTGGGATGAGTATAATTAATTAAAGGAAATGGATATTAATGTAAATAATTAAACATGACTTCTAGACATTATTGAACTTTAACCCCAGCTGATGTTGCTCAACCCTTTATTTAGATTAGTAGGTTTCTTCCTCTGTAATAGCATAGATTATAATAATTTGGCGAGAAATTAATCATTTGAAAATTATTAAGTCATGTAATTCCTTAAAATAAGGATCTTATTGGAGGTTGTGAGCCATTTGATGGTCAGGATTTTGTTACGTCTTTAGGCAAAGAAAAGTGCTTCGGATCAAACTTGGGGAAGCTGGCCTAAATCAACACATTTCATTTTTTTTCATCTGTTTTTATTTCTCTCATTTTTTTCTTATAATGTAATATTTTATTGGGGGACTTTAGAATTATATTGGATAACATATAAAATTGTTGGTGTCTTATGCTTCCTAACCCAATGTCCAGACAACCACTAAGGGAGTCTTGTCAGTCTATGTTCCTTGATGATGGGGTTCCATGAGTGACTTAAGGAAAAAAAGGGGAAGGGGGGGAGTTTAACTGCTTTTCGGTTGCTAGACTTTTCTGTCTTGGTCAAACGATGCTTGACTTAAAAAAAAGAAAAAAGAACAGATTCTGTGGCCTGAAAAAAATTGGGGTTAGTTTACTCTGGTGCCTTGATGAGGAGGTTCCGTTATCTGGTTCTTTTTGTGACATTCTTCTCACTAGTTTTTTTTTCCCCTTTCTTTGTCACCTTCAGGGGGGAAATGTGTTCGCTGCCCTGAACCAGGAACAGAGTGAAGAGGAGGAGGAGGAGGAGGAAGAAGAAGAAATGTCAAAGCCCATCAAACTTGACAGGAATAAGAGCAACAAGGTGAGCTGCATTTGGGAATAATCTTAATGGGAGAGATTTAACAGTTAAGTTTCCAGATTCAGGGCGGGCAGCCTTATTTCATGTGGCCTTAAGCTGCCTTTTTAAAATGCTGCAAGCAGTCCTGTCTGTCTCGCCCTGCTATGTGGGGAAAGGGTCAGAAAAGGAAAAGGGTTTGTGTCAAAAAAACAACGATTAACCAAGGGAAAATGCCTTGGAGAAGACAGGCAGCTCCTTCTGTGTTATATGGTTCTTCTAGGACGAGGGTGTCAAACTCTTTCATTGAGGGCCACATCAGAGTTGTGTTTGACCTGGGGTGGGGTGGGGGGGCACCTTGACGTCACTTGTGCCGGAGCGCCTGTGGCGGCCTGAGCACTCTGCCCGTGAAAACGGGCTCCCAATCTCCGTTTTTGGCTGTGACGGCCTCCTGCAACCCTCTGCCAGGGAAAATCAGACATGATATTCTTCCGATTAAAATCGGAATTCCGATTTTTGGGGGAATGCCCCCCCTCTCCCCCCCCTTCTCCTCCTCCTTCCCCTCCCCTTGGAGGCCTCCTGAGTCAGGAGTTGCTACCGCCGGCGCGGCTCCAGTCCCGCGTTGCCTCGGGAAGGGAAAGGCAAAAAGGAAGAGCCGCGGCGGCGCTTTGCAACGGCAGCAGCGGCACCGGAGCAGACAAGCCGTCTCTCCGTCTGACGGCCTCGGTCGAATCTCTGCCTCCCAGCGCGCTTGGTCCTCCGCCTGCAGGCTTCCCCGGCCCCTTGCCAAGCGGGTTTTCCGCCCCAGCCCGGCAGGGCCCTCGCTGCCTTCCCCTCGCCTGGCCGGCCGGGCTCCTTGAGCAACCCGGCTGCCTCGTGCCGAGAAGCGCACTGCCAGGCGGGGGCCACGCGGTGCAGGGCAACACGCCACCGCCCAGCCCTGGCGAGGGAAAGCAGCGGGCGCTCCCCGGGCAGCGGCCTTGGCCCCGCCACCAGGGAAGCGGCTGCCCAGCTCCGGAGCTGATCCATACCTGACCGGCTGGAAAGGAAGGGTGTATAGCGTTGGTGTTGTGTGTGCGATTTCTTGGCGCGCGGCGCGGGGTCTCTTTTGGCCGGCCCCGATTTTTTTTTCAGAGGGGAATATCATGCCTGGAAAATGGAGCTCAGGAGGGCCAGGTTTTCATTGACAGAGGCACCTCAGGCCGGTTCTTCGCTGTTTCCAGGGCAGCCCCATGGGCCGGATCCAGCTCATGGGCCTTGAGTTTGACACCCCTGTTCTAGGAGTGACTCTTAAGGTGATGCAGGCTGAGTATGCAGGAAGCTGTAGCATGAGTGTCAGGGATGACTTTCTGGCATTTTTCTAAGTAAAAGCAGTACAGAAATAATCAGAATCCAACTTTATTTCTCTAGGCAGCCTCTGATGATGAAGAAACAAAGAAACCAGGGGAAAAGGGCTCTAAAACCAAACAAAAGGTTAGTCTGGATTGTCTGAAGTACAGGTAGTCTCAATTGACAGCCTTGTTTCTGAGGTAAAAGCTTATGCGGATCACAGAAGAAAAGCAGCCTTCAAAAACGCTGTTCCAAAGTCCCAATACATGTAGAACTGAACGTATCATGATTTGTTTAATGACCAAAGTTACGGTGCTTGAAAAAAGTTAGGAAAAAAGTGACTTACGACTGGTACCCACACTTCTGACTGTTGCAGCATCTCGTCGGTCATCCAAAATGGGATACTTGGCAACCGGCATGTACTTACGATGTTTGCACTGTCCTGGGGTCATGTGATTGCCATTCCCAGGGGACTTCTGACAAGCAAAGTCAATGAGGGATGCTGGATTCGCTTAATGACTGCATGAGTCGCTCAACAGCCATAGTCATAAAATCAGGCTTAACAACAGGAATTGGCTTTACTTAGCAACAGAAATTCTGGTCCCCATTGTGGTCGTATATCGTGGACTTCCTGTAAACTGAGGCCAGGCAGTACTTAGTGCAGAGAATGAGGGCTTGCAAGGATCCTGGTGGATCATTCCCTCTGGAGGAAGGAGTCAAGCGAGGATTGAGCTTGGAGTCCTTACTGTCATACCCCTGGTGGAGACTGACTCTGAGGAAGAGGAGGAACAGCCAACAGGGAGTGGAAAGGTGGCTCCAGAGGTGGTGGAGGAGGCTGGGGAAGGGCAGAGGCCGGCTGAGCCATCAGAGGAGGCCCATCCCCTCTCCATCCTAGGGCACGGAGGGAGGAGAGGATCGTCTATTTGGGAGGAGAGGGCCATGATCCTCTTCAAAGTTTCAGCCTGAGGCTTTTCACGAGTGGTTCTGGTTACTTGCACCTGACAAGAGGACCTTGCTATGATCACTGTATCAAAAAGGCTCAAGCTGTTGTAGACATTGCTCAAAGAGATCTCTACATAATGTTTACCAGTTAAAGTGAAACATATAAATGAAATAAGCCAAACACTTACCCCGTTAAAGCTAGATTTGTGGGAGCATTTTGTAGCTATAAGACAGCGAAGGAAATATATATGGATTAGTTCCAAAGCACTTCTGTTGTTGCTTCATTCTTTTCATGGAAATTATCCAGACATTGAAAAATGGGCCGTCACACAACTTACATCATATAGAAATCATGTCATGTGTAGAAAAGATTTCTCTTCCTTTGTTCATGTCTTGGAAGCCCATCATTCTGAAAAGGGGCCGGGCAGGGAAGTCTTAATCAAAGGTGCCTGCAAGGTGTCGTCTAAAAATGTTGCAATGATGGCTGCGATACTATGATCAAAACTCTACTTGTTTTTTTTTTTTAATGGGCATCATACATGCAGTGCACATGAAAACCAAGTGGAGTTTCAATCATGGAACTGTCATCACCATCTTGACTTTATTTGACCTGTGAATATTCCTCTTCTCACTGGAAAAATGAATACAAATTGAATGTCTACCTCTCTTATTCAGGAAGAGGAAGAGAATAAGGAAGAAACAAAGTGGAAAAGCAAGAAGAACGAGAAGAACAAAGGAAAACAACAGGTTTGTGGCTTCAGTTGTATCCTTCATACTTGATATACAACGTTAACGGTCAATTTTGTAGCTCAGGTGCAGATCCCTTTCAATGCGGAATGGGATAAGTTGCCAAGGAACAACTTGACATGGGACAATTCAACAATTCAATTGTTTCATATAATTTTAAAAATATTTTATTTTTTCCTCGTTCACATTGAATTTCCTCCCTCCTTTTTTCATCCTTTCTTCAATGATTCTATTCCACCATTTCTTTGATATTACTGTACCTCTTGTCCCGTGGCAAGTTGGCCGTGGCAAATTGTCCTAGGCCCCTTTCAGTGTGTCTTAGTTTGTGTAAGCTGGAGCACATTACTTCGATAAGCCTTTTTTTAATTAATTTTCAACCACCATCGTATTATCAAGGAGACTGATGAAATTTGCTAGTTTAAACATAGAACGTAGAGCTGAAATAATTGAGGGGTGCGGTGGCCTAGAGGTGGAGCTCTTGCCTCTCAAGCAGGAGGCTGTGAGTTCGATTCTAGGTAGAGGATCGATGGGAATATATCTGCTGAACAAAAACTCTGCATTGGCAACAGGAAGGGCATCCGGCCAGTAAATACTCCATTCAGTTGCCCAGACTTCACCCTGCAAGGGATTATGGGGTCATTAAAAGAGGATGACGATAGAGCTGAAATAATACCCGTGGATTGGAGTATCTCTTGTTATCGCACAGTAAATCTTTTTTTGTTTCTCTTAATTCTTTTCAATCAGTTTTGACTCCGGGTGACTGCAGTTTTCTTGCCAAGTTTTGGAAAGGCTTGTCTTTGTCTCCTTTCTATGACGGAAAGAGAGTGACTAAGCCCCAAATCCCCCAGCTGGCAATGGGGCTACAGCTCACGGTCTCTCAGTTTCTAGCCTGGTGCCTTAACCACTGGCTCTTAAACAGTTCAAATGAGAATACAAACACACACATGCATACTATCACAAAAGAGATGTGAGAAAACGGGGACGTTAGCCATTCCACAGGCTGGATGGTGGAGGTTTTCTGTGACAAGGGCCCAGGAAGAGTGAACAGTCACCAGGGAGACTCAGTGCCTATCAGGAAAGAGAAATGAAAACTGAAGTGCAGATCCTGAAATATATACCATATTTTTTGGACTATAAGACACACCTAGATTTTCAGGAGGAAATCAAGGGGGGGAAAAATCTGCCTCTGCCTCCCAGCAATTTGCCTCCTTGCAGCAAACAGCAAACAGCCAGGTCAGCTTCAGCACAGCCTGATTTAGCACGAGTAGCTGATTGGCTATTGGATCAACCTCCCAGAATATCACCTATCAGCTGTTCCAGGCTGCAGGGATCGCCGCCGCCCATCACCACCGCTGCCTATTGCCATCTTCGTGCACCCCATTTTCAGCCTCTGCATGCCCCATTTTCAGCCTCCGTGCATCCTGTTTTCGGCCCGTTCCCGGCGGCAGGGATCAAAAACGGGGCTCATGGAGGCCGAAAACGGGACGCGTGGAGGCTGAAAACAGGGCACGCAGAAACCTGCTGGGAGGCAGAGGCCGAAGGGTGGGGGTGGGTGGGCGGGGCTTTGTCAACCTTCGCTCTATAATACGCACAGACATTTCCACCCACTTTTTGTGGGGGGGAGGGGAAATGCATCTTAGAGTGCGAAAAATACGGTACATCCATCACTTTTGCCTTCAGAAGGGCACAGAAAGAAATGTCAAAGGGATATTTTTTTTTCTTATTCTGTGGAATTTGTGCTTGGCTGAGTTTACTCTATATGCATTTCTCTCTCCCTCCCTTTTCTTCATATTCAAGAGAGGAGGCTCAGCATTTGCAACCCTGGCTCAGAGTGATGAGGAAGAGGCAGAAAAAAACAAGCCCAAGGAAAAATCTAAGGTATAGGAGAAGAGGAATGTGGACAATGAGAGTTGAAGTCCACAGAGAGTAGCCGACTCAGTTCTGATTGGGATTGTGTTTTGGATGGACAGTTGGGTAGAATTCAGGATTTCAGCCCCATCTTTTCCAGGTAATGCCAGAATTGGAGCCTTCATATTGAAACACTGATCTAAACAGGAAGTAGTATCATAAGTCTTCCCCTACTCAGTCTCCCCTGCTCAGTCTCCATCCTCCAACTATGAAGGATGCATCTCTATTCTCTCTTATCTTGGTAACCAGAAGATAGATAGTCCTCACTTACCAATCTCTCATTTAGTGACTATTCGAATTGTGCTGGCACTGAATGAAAGGGCCATAAAAGGGCCATCGTTCCCCACCCTTGATCTGGTGGAATAGATGATAGGGTGCTTTCATCCCCGATGAGCAGAAATACTATTCTGAATTTAAAAAAATAGTTTCCTGCCCTAAGGAGGGATGCTTCCTAGTTTCTGAGCAGGCTGAAGATTTTTAATGGATTTATTTCAACAATTAGATTATCTGCAAAGCTGGGAGAAAGTTGGAATTACTGCTGGTGTTTTTGTTTTGTTTCTCTTGCTTAACAATGTTTTATGCCCATTTCCTTGCTTCTCATTTTAGGCTGGAGCCAAACAAGCTGCTCAGTCTGAAGAAACTACCAAAAAAACAAAAGGGAAGAAGAACCAGCCAGCCAAGGTAAGTGTTCACAATCTAACGAAGAAGCCAGAAGGCCCCATTTTGATGGTTGTGTGGGGAGGATGCAAGAGATTTCATTACTTCTCTTTCTGCTGAGTTACAGCTCACTTTTAACAACCGTGTTACTAGCTTAACAACTGTGGTGATTGATTTGACAACTGTGACAAAGAAGCTTGTAAAATGGGGCAAAACTCACATCATTGTCTCGCTTAGCAACCAAAATTTTTGGGCTCAGTTGTGGTCATAAATCAGGGACTACAGTGTGTGTAAACTGTGCTGGTCTTTATGATATGGCCTGTGGAGCTGCTGGAAATGAGCATGAGAAACCCTTTCCAATAGAATGCATAATGTATTCTTTTCTTTGATGTTGGCTTCATCGTTGCAGAATATGTTTGCTGCTCTAGAGGCAGAGGAGACAGATGAGGAAGAGGAGGATGGAGAGGAGGACTTCACTGAGGAGAATGAGAAATCCAAACAGGACAGCCAGCCGGTAAGGAGCCAGTTCTCTATGGCAGGGGGCCCCCAACCTATGGGACACAGCCCACTACCGGTCTGCAGCCTATTCGCAACCGGGCCGTGTGAATGGCTGGTGGTGTTCATACATGCTCATTGTTCCACTCACACGAGCAATGGGTGTTCCCGTGTGTGCACATGCGCCTGCCCCTCCCACAGAACCATCCCCTCTTTCCTCCCCCGCTCCAGGCCACCAACCCAGAAAGGTTGGGGAATTCTGCTCTATGGTGAAGTACGAACCCATTGGCTTACGGTACCCTCCTCTGTGCCGTCCCTTCTTACATTCGATTGGGTAGTGTGGGGTACTTGGGAAGAACTTGATCCGCAAGGAATTTCAGACGTTTGAATGCTCTATAGAGCTGACGCCGCTGCCTTCATTCTCCACCCATGTCAATCATGAACTGGGGAAGATGTCTTAAAATATTCGTATACGATCACGTGAAGAGTGGGGGAGGGTTATTGAGAAACGAGAAGGCGTTTTTAAGCCTCTGCTCTTTAAAGATCCATATTCCCCCAAATGTATTTTACAAAAAAAGAAAAAAGGGCTATTTTAGTCCTTTCCATTACAGGGACTTGGAACGTGTTACATAAAAATAATTTCTGGGACACCTAGATATGATAGAGATAGCAGGGCAGCCTGTTTAATTGCTGTTCCATAAAACTCCCAGTTTTTTTCCCCTTGGTTCTTGCTCTCTGCACTGTAGAGCTTTTGTCTGGAGGAGGACTCTATTTGCGTGTGCAAGAGCTTGCCTTAACTGAGTTGGGCCATAATAAAATGATCAACGATGGCAAACGGTTTGTTGCATCTCAGGAAGGCACTAGAACTCCACCAGATTCCTGAAGGTGCCGCCTTGCCACTTGCCAGAGATTGTTCCTCTCTGCTGCAGAGACCGTTATATGTACAAGTGAGTCAATCCGTGAACCTGGGATTTAAACAGGAATTCCCCTAGCAATCAATGCGCTTTCTAGTGAGGTTAGAAAGATAGCATAGAATCGTCTCCTTCCTCACCTAAGACGAGTCACTTGCGGTCGTAATAGAAGTTGAAACAGCCAAGTAGTGGAAAGCAGTCCATTAAAGTAAAATTGAGCCTGGTGGGACTTAATGCCGCATCCAAGCTCCAAAGGTTTCACAGTAAACTCTTTTGGTTCCCCACATAATCACGTTTGGCTACCGTCAACTGGATTCCTCTAAACTCTGTAGCCATCGGAGGAGGAAGAGGAGAAGAAGGAAGATGATCCCTATGCACATCTCAGCAAGAAGGAGAAGAAGAAACTCAAGAAACAGGTTAGATGTGGTCCTCCAGAGGAGGCCAGCGGTTACTTCCTACTTTTTGTGACTTTGCTTGACTGCAGTCATAACACAAATTATTTTTTGTATACTCTTCTCCCCTTTTTACAAGGGAAGGTAGAGATAAATCTCACTGCTGTTGAGATCAGGAATAAACTCTGTGGTGAAATCTATCCAAAGTAGATCAGGAATAAACTCTGTGGTGAAATCCATCCAAAGTAGATCAGGAATAAACTGTGGTGAAATATATCCAAAGTAGGTTGCAGGATATTTAAAATTGTAGTAGAAACATGTTCAATCCCATCTAATGAGGAAATGAAACATAGATCCCTATAGCTTCATCTCCTCATCAGATGATGCCTAGGAGGTGTGTGTCTTTTGTTGTGATGGAATGAATTCCTCCCCACGAGATTTGGGTGCTCCTGATCCTCTTAGCCTTCAAGAAAAAATTAAAAATAGGGTTTTTTGCCCAGATTTTGAGTCAGGACAGTAGATGAGCCTGTCTTTTGGAAAATGAAGTGTGTCAGACTGTTTGTTGTCTGATACATTGGTTATAGGTTTCATGTTTTTATAATTTGTCTGATGTTTTACTTATAACTATTGTTCCCTGTTTGGTTTATAATGGACCAAAAAATTACGTGCCCAATTATATGAATTGAGCAGTTATATAAACAGACTTATATATTGTAGCTGGGTAGCTGGGCACCGATATGGCTTGGTGAGTCCAAATGGATAGGTGTCTTTTATTACAATTATTTTACAAATGCTATAATACCTCCCGAACCAAAACTAATATGAAACAGTTCACAAGAGTAAAAAAAAGCATGGCATATTTTGCAGTTTTAACTTCTGATCTTCAAGAGAGAAGGTCTCGGACAGCAGCATATCACGTGAAACTGTCAAATCTTCTTTTTTTTAAAAAAATAAATTTTATTAATTTTCTATTGTTTACATTTATTAGTGCTTAATAAACATCGTGTTGTCTGGATATTTAATTTACTTAACAATACAGATTACATTCTTAATCTCTTTTTTCCAACCACTGGTAAAATAAGTTCCATGTTTGATCATATTCTGTGTGTTTCTCTCTGTTTAATTTTCAATGTAAGTCTATCCATTTCTGCACAATCTAGTATCTTCTGTCAAATGACTGTCAAATGACCTGATTTGAGCCTTTCTTTGCTCAACCAGCTGGAGTTTGAGCGGCAGGTGGCAACCTTGAAAGCAGCCAATGCGGCTGAGAACGATTTCTCGGTGTCCCAGGCGGAAATGACCTCGAGACAAGCCATGTTGGAAAATGCCTCAGATATCAAGGTACCCCAGTCTTTGTGACTCAAGAGGAAAGCGATCGTTATATTTTTGAGAATTGTACAATTCTTCTGCATGTATCAGGATTGTAAATAAATAAGCTCTGCCTTTTTAAAAAAGGATCTTGTCTTAAAAAAAACTTCCTAAAAAGTGACAGCAATAATAATTTCTCATTTTTTTTCTCAGTCTGCTTCCGTAAGAGTACAGATAGTCCTCGACTTAACAACAGTTCATTTAGTGACTGGTAAAGTTACAGCGGCACTGAAAAAAGTGACTTATGACCGTTTTTCACACTTAACACCCATTGCAGCATCCCCTGGTCATATGATCAAAATTCAGATGCTTGGCAATTGGTTCGTATTTAGGACGGTTGCAATGTCTTGGGGTCATGTGATGAGCTTTTGTGACTTTCTGACCAGCAAAGTCAATGGGGAAGCCAGATTCACTTAACAACCATGTGACTAACTTAACAGCAATGATTCACTTAACAACTCTGGCAAGAAAAGTCATAAAATGGGACAAATGTTTCACTTAGCAACATAAATGTTGGGGCCAATTGTGGTCAAGGATTATCTGTAAGTGCAGGTAAATTGCTTAGAATGGTGGTATTCTGTACTTTGTCACAAATACCTTCCAAGCTGATCGCCAAAATAAAATGCAACCTTGGAACCATCAGCATAAGGACAAAACAAAAACAAATCCAGTGGATGAAATAGGTTTTTTAAAAAATCTCCTCTAATATTTTTTTATTTTCTGTTACAGTTGGAAAAGTTTAGCATCTCAGCTCACGGAAAAGAACTGTTTATCAATGCAGATTTATATGTTGTAGCTGGGCGTCGATATGGCTTGGTGGGCCCGAACGGGTAGGTGTATTTTATTACAATTACTATACAAAAGTTATAATGCCTCCTGAACAAAAGTATTGTAAAACAGACCAAAAATTTAAAAAGTATACCTTAACAATATAGGAAGACCATGCTTTAGTGGACTAAATGGGAGGACTAGATGTCCAATAATAAATTTCTGTGAGGTTGCAGAGCCCACAGTGATTTTCATCATTTATATAATATTTCTATCTTTGTTTCTTTAGAAAATTTATATAGCTGTCCATTCATTCACAACAATTATATACAGTATGGGGGGAGGGAATAACACCCCCCACCCTCCCCAGCGACAACACATAATCAAATCAGTCGTTTAATGGGCTCCATCCCATTCTGGGTTCCTCAGGCCTGCTGGCAAAACCACACGTCTTCAGGGCCTCCCGAAAGAGTGTTAGAGTGAAGGCCAGTCTAATTTCTGGAAGGGGGGTGTTCCAGAGGGAGGGAGCCACCATGGAGAAGGCCCTTCTTCTGGGTCCTTCCAGGTGTATCTCCTTGGGGGACGAGACCCGCAATGTTCTTTGCCTCCCCATTCTTGTGGGTTGGGTGCATGTGACCAGCAAGAAACAATCCCTCAGATGACACATCTGACAAGCAGAAATCTGAACTATTCCTCCAATTTTTCTACAGAAAAGGCGTGGAAGAAGAGAAAGGCCTTCAACAGGCATCTAAAACATTTAATAGTAGTAGGTACCTCACAAATTAGATATGAGGATGTGCTACTTCTGGAATCTCTTCTTTTATTTGATTACTCCAACATTTGAAAAAAAAATGTTCTGACTGTAATTTGTCCGATACTAATATCTTGCTAGGAAAACCACTCTGAAAGGGGAAGTGGGTAGATTGTGTTTCTTCTCGTACACCCTTCCATAATCCAAAATACTTGGCAGGGGCTTTTATAGTCAACTCCAGTGACTATCTTTCATCTGATTTCTATTGTTCTTTTCAGGAAGGGCAAGACCACTTTGCTGAAACATATCGCTAACCGGGCCTTGAGCATCCCTCCCAACATTGATGTGCTGCTCTGTGAACAAGGTAAAGGAGCAGCAAAGGGGGGAAAAAACCAGCCAGGCAACTCTTAGGCTCATTGGTCCCTTTCTTTTAGGAGGGGGCGGGGGAGGAATTAAAACTCCCTATGTTGCAGGGCTGATGGGGTTTGCAATCTAGTACAGCTGGAGAGTGTCCGGTTATAGCATTCCAGTCAGTCTGGTATCTTTTATCATAGACAGGGAGCACTTTCTGTTGTTTCTCACTTTAGGCCAGCAATCTCCTAACTTGGCAACATTTAAGACTTGTGGACTTCAACTCCCAGAGTTCCCAGCATGGCTGGCTGAGTAATCCTGGGAGATGAAGTCCACAAGTCTTAAATGTTGCCAGGTTTGGAGACCCCTGCTTTTAGACCTTTGTGAAACCAGTGACCTTCTGTAACTTGTGAACCAGCACCATAATCCTTGTTTAAAAGTTGACAGGAAGCTCAGATTTTTCTGATTGTTCGTCTAGGCTGCCCAGTTGCCCATCATTTAATGACATTAAAGCTCCTAAACAAATAACCCACTGCGTGTGGAAGTCAAGAACATTATTTGTCTTTATTACCCGGATTTGGTATGCAAGGATTCGAAGATATGTTTCCCTTCGTTTGAAAAGTTTCCAGCCTTCCATAAAAAGTCATGCTATTAGACTTAATGATATCCTGTTTATCCAGATTACCTTCTTTCCATTTTCTCCTCCTCTCTTTGTTCCCCACAGAGGTTATTGCGGATGAGACTCCGGCAGTCCAAGCTGTGCTCAAGGCTGACACCAAGCGGCTGAAGCTCTTGGAAGAAGAGAAACATCTGCAGGCACAGCTGGAGAAAGGGAACGATGCAGCCGCAGAGCGCCTGGAAAAGGTATTGAGGAGCCATGATGGGCTTTTTACACTTGGTGTGGGAACGGGTTGCCCATGATTCATTGACAGGTAGTCCTCGACTTACAATTCCTTTTAAAAAAAATATTTTTTTTATTAATATATAAACATATAAATAAAAAGAAAGAGCAAAATCCATATATACAGTGTGTTGCCTGGTTACACTTCTTGGAGTAATATTCGTCATAATCCTAGTAATAGTCTAATCTAATGATAATATCATGATAACAGTGCTTTCCCCTCATAACATTGATACATATTAATTGGTAAAACTAATCAAAATTAATCACAATTAATAAGTTACAATAAACAACCCTGATCGTGAGATTAATCTTTCTCTTGTAATCTTCTAATTTCCAACTCCTGTTTCTCTTATTTAACCAATGATAGAACAGATCCCTCACCTCAAAATATTCAGTTTCTTCCTTTTCTTTAATTTCAAATGTTAGTTTATTCATTTCTGCACATTCTAAAATTTTTGTTATTATCTTTTCTTCTGTGGGGATCTCCTCGCCCTTCCAATGTTGTGCGAACATGATTCTGGCCACTGTTCGACTTAACGACTAATTCACTTACCAATTGTTTGAAGTGACAACGGACTTCGCCAGGTCTGCTTATGACCCAGATCTAACAGCTCCCCTACCAGGCTTGGCAACCGGCCCACATGTTTGACCAGCAGCATCCTGTGGTCACATGATCACAATTTATAACTTTTTTTTCTTTTCTGGAAAGCATTTACTTCCAGTTTCCAGTAAAAAAAAAAAAAACCACCCGCTGTGGATAATGGATTCCCATAGCAACTGTAGTGATTCACTTAGTCTTTCCTTAGCCCTGAAATCCAGCTGGGTGGCTTTGGGCCACTCCATCTCTCTCAGCCCAACTTACCTCAGAGGGTTGCAGTTGTGGGAAAAATATGAGGAGGAAGTTGTGTTCTTATGTTCGCCACCTTGAGTTGTTTATAAAAAATAATAGGTTTTTAAATTTTCCTGACAGTTAGAACAATTATTCAGTGGAACGAGTTGCCTCCAGAAGTTGTGCATGCTCCAACACTGGAAGTTTTTAAGAAGAGATTGGATAACCATTTGTCTGAAGTGGTTTCTTGCCTAAGCAGGGGGTTGGACTAGAAGACCTCCAAGGTCCCTTCCAACTCTGCTATTCTATTCTATTCTAATTTGTATTCTATTCTGTTCTATTCTATTTCTATTCTATTCTATTTGTATTCTATTCTATTCTGTTTGTATTCTATTCTATTCTATTTGTATTCTATTCTATTCTATTCTATTCTATTCTATTCTATTCTAAATAAATAGCAGCTTTAAGCCTTGCTGGGCCAATTTGATACCTCTGTGATGAGGAGACAGGGTGTCTTCTCAACATCAGTTGCAGGGAATATGAAATGGAGGGAGCTTTTGTTCATAATACTGTGGGCATCAGTTGAACTGCTCTAAGGAAAAGGATGCTGGACTAAGTAGTAGTGACCTCAGATGTGCTGAGACTGCAACCCTCAGAATCTTCTAAGGTTTTCAGGGAATTGAATAGAAAAGGCTAATAGCATTGAAGAACCTGTCTCCATCCTTAACTCTAGCATCTGGAGCGGCCTGATGTTGTCAGCATTCCAAGTAATGCACCCATTGAAAGCAGAACTCTGAGGCAGGTAGATTCCTCAAGGAGAACATGTTTATCGGATACATCATATTGACACAACCGGTGAAAACTGACTCTGAAAGTTCCCGTGGTTTTCACCTAATTAAAAGTGAAAAGTTCCCCCTTCTCCCCCAGGTCATCAGTCAAATTGTCCAATAGAGGTGGTGGCCGGTTGCTTGGTTACTCAACTCCTCCTCTCTCTCAGCCTCCTGTTGGAACGACCTTAGTTCCCACAGGAAAACGTTTTGTTTTGATGGCAGAGCCGAGCTAGCTATCTGTTTTCTCCCCTCCCTTTGCCTTGTGGCAACCATGAAGCTGCAAAGATGGCCTCAGCCAGGTTCGCTTCAGGGTTGACAGATGTTCTCATATGCTCTTCCTATTCTTCATTGCCAGGTCTATGAGGAACTGCGAGCTACAGGAGCAGCAGCAGCGGAGGCCAAAGCTCGGAGAATCCTGGCTGGGTTGGGCTTCAACCCTGAGATGCAGAATAGGCAAACCAAGAAATTCTCAGGAGGTTGGCGCATGAGAGTTTCCTTGGCCAGGTAATTGTTGAAAGCAGAATATCAGCCAAAGGGGTGGAAAATAACATGGTAACTAACTACTCCAAAGCAATGTACCCGGTTCACCCTTTTCCTTATATTAGTCCATCCTAATCTGGTTCCCTCCAGATGGTCATGCTGGCTGGAGATGATGAACACTGTATTTTAACACATCTGGGGAAGATCAAATTTGGGAAGACCTTCTGCTAGATAGACCAATGTTTCAGCTTGATAAGAAGCACCTTCCAAACCCCTGTTGGTCTTTCTAAAACTAATGGGAGAGATATTGTCTTGGTTTACAGTGGTTGGTTTCACATGGCAACCAAATCCACGACAAAAGAAACCATTTTATGGCTTCGTATCCAATCCATAGCTTCCAAATGTATCTTTTTTTTGAGAGAGAAAAGAAAAGACCCTAATATAACTTTGTCAGTAAGTGTGTGATGGTTGGTAATAGGTAGACGTTTGGGAATAATTGCTTTAGCTAGATTGCCCTGAGTGGCTCAAATATTCAGACTCAGCTTAAGAAAGCTTTGTTAATTCACGATAGTAATTTAAAGAGTGGCATTGCTGAAATGGATCGGCATTAATTTCTTCTTCCTGATGGCAACCGAGCTTGCATTTGATAAACTAATCTTTCCGTGGTGGCGCAGTGGTTAGAGTGCAATACTGCAAGCTACTTCTGCTGCCTGCCGGCTGCCTGCAATTTGGCAATTCAATCCTCACCAGGCTTAAGGTTGACTCAGCCTTCCCTCCTTCCGAGGTAGGTAAAATGAGGACCCAGATTGTTTGCGGGCAATATGCTGACTCTCAGAACCATTTAGAGAAGGCTGTAAAGCACTGTGAAGCAGTATATAAGTCTAAGTGTTATTGCTATTGCTTTCCATCTTGCCTCTAATACTTGTCTTCTCCCCCATCCCTGCCTCTCCTTAAATTGATTTCTTTTTTGCTGGTTGCTGGACTTAAGATTCTGTAGCATTTCTTCTATGTTGCTTCTGCTCAGTGGGGCATCACCGTCCTTTATGCTCTGTTCCCTCACTGCTTCTTCGCTCTCCTTCCTCAAGTCTCAGTTACAAGTAATCCTCAAACTACAACACATCACTTGCTGACTATTCAAAGTTATGACGGACTCATAAAATGGGATTTCTGACCTGATCATTTCTTTTTTTCAGAGCCCTGTTCATGGAGCCCACGTTGTTGATGCTTGATGAACCCACCAATCACTTGGATCTCAACGCGGTCATCTGGCTTAATAAGTAAGTCACTAGCTAAGCATACGGGGGAAGAGAAGGACAGCTGCTTTGCCTTTAAGTCTCCTTCAAGTTATGGGACATTGTTACAGAGCAGATAAATACCTTGGCAAAATCCCAGAAGAACATAGTAAGGATGTGTGTCTGGGCCACATGTTAAATGATCTATAAACACAACTTCTATTCTTACCTTTCGTTTTTCTTAATGACACTGGCAGTGGTTCTAGAAGCATGTAAAGAGATTGTGTACACAGTCTATAATATATTATTACATGAAATCTTTTGTTTCATTAAATCCATTTCTAACTTGCCTTTCCATCTGTCAACAGACTCAGGGCAGCTATCAGCGCAATGATTGTAGTATTTAAAAACAAATGTATATATTTGAAAATTGTGCCAAATATACAGATGCTAATACCTTAGCTCAGGGGTCTTCAAACTTGACCGCTTTAAGACTTGTGGACTTCAACTCCCAGAATTCCTCCTCCAGTCATGTTAGCTCAGGATTTCTGGGGTTGAAGTCCACAAATCTTAAGCTTGCCAAGTTTGAAGACCCTTGTCTTAGCTGAATGAAACAGGAATAATGAAATGTATCCCTTAATTTTTCAGGGCTCTTTTCTTTCACACTAGCTATACCATTCTCATATTTACATTCTCAGTCACATACATATAATTCAGGCTGAGAGGTGTTAAGAGTTATTAAAGTCAATCTTAATGTAGTACAGCTCACCCTTTGTTTAGTGACTCTGACCATTCACAAATGCAACAGTGATAGATCATAATTTTTAAAAAATCATTTTTCAACCAATGTGCCTGACATTGTGAAACATTGACAGCCTTCAGTGTGAAACTGATTAAGGTCTGGCCAGTTTCAGGCAGTAGCTGAGGTTCTAATTAAGATCACAGAGCTGAGATAAATGAATTTAATTTACCTTTATCCCCTTTTAGAGCCACACTGCCCCATGGGGGAAAAAAGAGCTCATAAAGAGTGGTGGCTTGTATATGCAATCTCTCTACCCTACAAGGTGTCAAAAAAGAGGTGGGGGGAAGGGTTAGGCACAAGACGTTTTGTCTAAATGAGATATCAGCAATCAGTGATCTTTACATCTCTCAGGCAAGTATTCCGTTAGTGACCAAGTGTGATCCCTGAAAAAGGAGAGGCTGAAGTAGTTCTAACTGTTGTTATTTTAATTCCCTTCTGTTCTTCTCCTTTCAGCTATCTCCAGACGTGGAAGAAAACCCTGCTCATCGTTTCCCACGACCAGGGATTCTTGGATGATGTGTGTACAGATATCATCCATTTGGACATGCAGAAACTTTTCTACTACCGGGGAAACTACAGTGAGTGGTGATAAGGGTAGGGGCTTTGCGAGGCGGATACCCATATAAATCTAAATAGAATAAATAGATAAATAAAGTGACAAATACAAGAACAAGGGAACCCAGCTGGCAAAGCATGTAAAATATATAATTCTCGGATTCATAATGTGAAAAATCCGTATTTCAAGCCACGGAGTTGGAATGTTTATTTTTTTTAAATCAATTTTAAAGAAAGGTTTTAAAAATCCAACATTCAGACTTCGTTGATTTTAAATATAAGTTTCTATATGATGAACCCAAGAATTATTTATCTTAAAATGACCCGTCCATTTTAATGAAATGTCAAACATGTTGAATTGCTTGGGTGTTTTTGTTGAATGAGAAAATGCAAGCTTCTGTGCTTCAAGCTTTACAGCTTTACAGTCCTTTCTAAGCGGTTTACAGTCAGCCTATTGCCCCCCAAACAATCTGGGTCCTCATTTTACCCACCTCGGAAGGATGGAAGGCTGAGTCAACCTTGAGCCTAGTGGGATTTGAACTGCCAAATTGCAGACAGCCGACAGTCAGCAGAAGTAGCCTGCAGTACTGCACTCTAACCACTGCAACACCGCGTTTTTCCTGCTTTTGGGGGGGGGGGGGAATCCAGGACAGAATTTAATGTTTCGTTTGTCCCTTGAAAGGATAGAATAAAAGGGAGTCGTGGCAAAGATGGCAGAAGACCCAGAGCGTGGCTGCTGGAAAAATAACTGGGATGCTGCTGTTTTAGGGATGACCTTAACTTGAAATAAGTTGCACCCATCAAAGAGATGTAATTTTTTTTCCCCCAGACTTCTTTCGTGTGAGAGGCTGCTTTAAAGATACCTAAGTGGGCTCTGGCAGAGTTTCAACAGGAGTGCTGATTTGCCACCAGCTTGTCAAGTACTTAGCCAGTGAGGGCTTGGAGGCACAAGGAAGCAACAGCCAACAATTTTAATAGCCAGCTATCAACACTTCAATCAACATCTTAAAAGCCATACGCAACAGGCACCGTAGTCTGCAGAGATTCTCAGTCATCCAGGTCATGGTTATCCCGAAGGTGCTTTTTCAGGAGGCAACTGGACTTTCTTGTTTTTTCTTTTGAAGATGTTTCGCTTCTCATCCAAGAAGCTTCTTCAGCTCTGACTGGCTGGTGGGGAATGAAAGGATTTATATTCCTTGCAGGCATCTGGTAACTTGCATCCTTTTATGGGGTTGTTGAAGCACTTGGAGGCTTATCTATGTCCAGAAAATGACCAGCTGTCTGCAAGGAATACAAATCCTTCCATTCCCCGCTACCCTGTCAGAGTTGAAGAAGCTTCTTGGATGAGAAGCGAAACGTCTTTGTTGAGGTATCAGACTTACACCAAATCCAATAATATCAGTCAATTAGGAAAAATGGAGGAACGGCAATACTTTCCAACAGAAGGAAACAGAGATACTCACTCAGACACACTCTCTTCTGAGACTAAGACTAAGACAAACCAGGTTTCTGGCTCCATCTTATGGCCGTTTGAGAAACCACACCTAATTGCAGTTTTTAGCATGCTCTTAAAGAAACAGTATTAAAATGTCTATCCTGGTTTATATATTTCTAACCCAAAATACCTGTTAGGTGACTTATATTCCTAACAGTCTTCAAAAGAAAAAATGAAGTCCAGTTTCCTTCAGAAAAAGCCCCTTTGGGACAACGGGCACCATATAAGTACCACACACAAAATAGCCCAAAGCAAACATTCTGCTAGAGAGAAGTTCCCTGAAGATGGGCTCCAGCACAAGTCCAAAAGCTCAGAAAACTAAACCTCCGGTCCCAGTGACTGACCCAGATTGGATCCTGCAACATGTTCCTGGGACACTTATATTCCCCTTCATTTGTGAGAAATCTGCCTCTTCCTTTGTTCAGTGGTACCAAGCTGTGCAGCAGGGTGGGGAAGGAGAAATAGGCTTACCTCGGTGTTGTATTTTGTCACGTTCCCTTGCAGTGACTTTCAAGAAGATGTATCAGCAGAAACAGAAGGAGCTGCTCAAACAGTATGAGAAGCAAGAGAAGAAGCTCAAAGACCTGAAGGCCGGGGGGAAATCAACAAAGCAGGCAGTAAGTGTCTGGCTGTGCCATGGTAGAGGACTTGCTGGCTGAGAAATGTTGTGCAATTACTGTTTTCTTTGGGCTTCCTCTTAGCTGAAGTTACTTTTGAGGAAGCAGGACAGTTATGCTGAATGAAATCTGCGGTCCTAAATACGGCAGAATTTTGCTTCCTCTCATTCTCCGTATATCAAAACCTTTGCCATTTTTGTGTGGGCTTGTTTGAAGGCAAGCATCCTCGTTCACAGAAGCAGCACAATATAACAAGCAAAGGAATTCTCGGGGCTCTTTGAGCACGGCTGTTTGCTTGCAGAAGTTACCTAATTTGGTAACATCATCCGTACTTGTCGGTATTCTTTTTTTTCCCCCCTATTTTTTTCCCCCTAAATTGTTTTATCTATACAGTGGAACCTCGGGTCACGAACACTTTGTCAAGGCTCCGACATGCACCCCCATTCAAATCATAAGTCTCTAGCCACATCTCAGAGTAAAAAATATTGATTTATTAGGAGTTAACATACCGGCATTTCCTGATTGCAGCCGACTCTGACACATCATTCATTTCACCCTTGACCCTGGCTTTCCCCACACCCCCTGGATGTATATTCTCCAATGGGACACATCCGTAGCCAGGAATCATCAGTCATGCTCTCCAGTAATAATCTTGCACACCAACAGCTTTGGCTGCCAAGGCGATTATCTGAAGCATTTACGGAATGCGCTGCTTTCCCCCACTCCCTTTCTGCTAGCAACTAGAAAGACCAAAGAAGTATTTTTTTGTTGCGGTTGACACGCTTCTGTTTGTGACCAAATCGGGTGACCGAAAATTTGGGGAAATCGTTGCTTCTGGTTGCAAACAGATTCTCGGGTGCCAATCAAATACAGCCGCAGCGATTTTCCCTGCCACGGTGATTTCCGCTTCTGTTTGCAACCAAATCGAATTGCGACCGAAGTCCTGGGCTGGATTACGGTCGTGACCCGAGGTTCCACTGTATTGTGCTTGTCGGTATTCTGACATCCTAGCTTAATTGAGAATGTGTGTGCCCTGTTTAATCTGGGATCCACCCTGCAGCCCCTTCTGTCTGTACTAACAGAATACAGATAGTCTTCACGATTGGAATTAACAAGATGCCAGTTGTTAAGCAGGTCATCATATGACCAGCCTGATTTTATTTCATTTTTTTGCAGTGATCATTAAGCAAATCACTGCTGGAGCAAGGGAATTGGATTAGAAGACCTTCAAAGTCCCTTCCAACTCTGTTTTTCTGTTAATTGTTACAACCTCTAAGTTTTCTTTTCTTCTATATTTTCTGAGCGTTAAGCAAATCCATGGCTGTTACACAAGCCCACTGTCTGCAATGGGCATTTTGCCAGAAACTGGAAGTGAATGCTGATTTCCATTTTAGAAAGTCATAAATTGTGGTCAGGTGGCTGGGAAAACTTTGAGTGATCGGAAGATGAGGGCTAGTTGCAGAGTGCGGTCACCAAAATGTGATCACGTGACTGCAGGGTGGGGGGAACTTCATCAGAGGTGTTCTGGGTCATAAGGACCTTTGTGAGGGGAGGGATGTCATCATTTCAAAGGGCTGGGATTCAGCCAGTTCGCACCACGTTGGGAGAACCGGTTGTTAACTTTTTGAGTAGTTTGGCGAACTGGTTGTTGGAAGACCTCATTAGGGCAGAGAACCGGCTGTTAAATTATTTGAATCCCAACCCTGGCTGGTAAGCAAACAGTCTCAAATCAAGGACTACCTGTAGGGCAGTAGTGGCTAACCTTTTTCAGCTTCTGGGCTGAAAATTGCGCATGCGCACTTGCGTGCCAGCACCCAGAAGGCAATGTATGCTGGGGGCCCTCCACACCCCCTACGCATGTGCGCAAGATTTCCACGGGTGCATCTCTCTGCACGCGCATGCATCTCCTGCGTACCCTCACCTCCCGCGCATGCACGCCAGATACCCGACAATCAGCTGTTGGGCGGCGGCGCGTGCATGCGCAGTGGGGCTCTTCCGGGCGACCTTTCGCTTGCCACTTCCGGCACGCGTGCCATAGATTCGCCATCCGGGCTGTAGGCCATCCAGGTTTCTAACCTGTTGGAGATTGGCAGATCTGAGATCTTCCATGAGAAAAGCTCCTTCCCATTCTGTCACAAATCTGCAGTCCTTCCCGTTTGGTGCCCTCAGGATCCCTGCCACGGTTTTCAGCACTGAAGAAAAAACATTCTTCTTTTTGGAAAAACGTGTTCCCGTGGCCCCTCTGTCTCCCCTCCTCCGCGCCCCAAAGAAAAGAAGGGCAGCCTGTTCCTCTTGTAACCTTGTCTTGCTTGGCCCAGGAAAAACAGACCAAGGAGGCCCTGACGCGGAAGCAGCAGAAATGCCGCAAGAAGAACCCGGATGAGGAATCCAACGAGGCCCCCGAGCTCCTGAAACGGCCCAGGGAATACACCGTGAAATTCACCTTTCCTGACCCACCGCCTCTTGCCCCACCCATTCTGGGCCTCCATGGTAGGGCTTCTCCTTTTGCAGGGCAAATTGTAAGGAAGGGGGTGCAGGGGAAGGATTAGGAGCCTGATTAGGATTTGGGAGGGAGGGGGGGGACACTTATCGATTGTTCTGAACTCTGCTTCCTCCTCTTCCAAGCATTAGAGAGGAGAGGAAGGGAAGTTGAATTTCTGGCTGTTGCTAAACTACAATTCCCAGTGTCCTTTGCTCTGACCAGGCTGGCTGAGGCATCTGAAGGAAAGGAATGCTTGACTTCTTGTGGGTTGAGCCCTTATACCTGGCAGCCATGTGGTTTAAGTTTTCCTGCCTTAAGTTTTTACTGATCCCAGACAGCAGGGACAGGATTTTGCCCGTGAACTGCTCATGGGTGGAGAAATAATTAGGGAGATTTACGCTGTCTCTTAGTTTCCCTGGTGGTAGAAAACTGGAGCAATAACAGAGTGTCTGCATGTACCAAGGCTTATGTCAGTAAGAGGAGCATATAGGTAGTCCCCGACTTACAATCATATTGGAGTCTGCTTATTATGGTCGCACGTCATGACAGTTGTAAAGTGGATCGCCCATGTGACTGACCTGGTTTTTCGACAGTTTTTATGATAGTCGTTAAGCGGAGACTGCGTTAGGCAAATTCATTGGATGCTATGGAGAGTTTTGCTGGAAACCTGGAAGTATAATAAACCAGTTTTCAGCCAAAGTAGTTGTTGTGGCCCGCTGGCGGAGCTGGCAGCAGAGTCGGACAGTGAGGAGGTTGGGGAGGAACATGGGCCAGTCCTGGTGGCTGAGGAAGGCTCGGATGTGGGCTCTGCATCAGAGGCAGAGATGGGGCCAGGGCAGGCTGGCAGTCACCAGCTTTCTTCAGAGTCAGACAGCAGTGAGGCAGGGGAGCAGCTGGAGCCGGTTCCCAGCCTGCGCATGTGCAGAACTGACAAAAGAAAAGAATAGTTACGAACTAAGGGTTGACGTGGGAATAAAGCCACAGGTGCATGGTGAATGGCCCCTCCCATAGGGATTAAAAGGGGGGCAAAAGGGGAGGGGGCTTCTGCAGGAAACCATTCATTCGTTGCAGCCGTGTGAAGATCTGTCTGCGCACCTCAGAGACTCCGTGCCGAGTCCTTCCTTGTCAGCACTGCGCTTCAGAATATTTACTTGGCAGCTCTCCAGGCTAGATGAGGCCTGCGTTCCTAATTACACCCTTGAAAGACTGTTTGCCAGGCTGAATGTGAACGCAAGAAATTCACCTTCGTTTAATAAAAGGAGTTTTGCCGGGACAAAGAGTCTGCCTAGTGCTTTTTGGGGAAGCCTAGGTCAGAACAGTTGTAAATAGCAGTCACATGGCTGTTGGCTATGGCCAACGTAAATGCAAGCCAATGGTCACATGACTGGGGAGGGTGGGTGTCGGAAGTTATCACTTTGGTCGCGTAGGAATTAATGGGATGGGAGATCAGACACTACAGGATAGCAGTTGGTGTAGCCTCCTGGTTTAGTAAAGATTTCTTTTCCTGTGGCCTTCCCATCATGCTTGCAGCTAGTAGCCCTTGCCCAGAGGGAGGAGCTGCCTTCAAAATGACTGCCACACATACACACAGCATGCCAGAGGGATTTTTCAGGGGGGGGAAACGTTGGCGGTATCTTCAAGCGAGGGTGGCAAGTTTGCAGCACTTTTCAGAGCATAGGTTACCGATCTCTCTTTTAAGATTTCATTCTCTGCTAAGGATTTTGCTCCCGGAGCAGCTTGTATACAATCTGTGGGTCGGTTCAAAGCAAATCACAATCCTTTCTTTTGAGACTCTCAGTCCAGAACTCAGGATCAAAAGTGGGATGAGGGAGGATGAGCTAAAAAAAAAATCCCAACAACCTCATTTCAAATTCTTAATTGTTCAAGTCAAAGCTCTGCTATTCTAACCAACTGGGCTAAGAACTGGGTTGTTTTTTTTTCCAGACTGTCTGTGACTTGCTGATGTTCTCTCGAAACTTTACTTTAGTGTTCCTGAGAAAACATTTCCCCCCCTTTTGATCCTTATCTCTTTGCTTCTCTTTTAGCTGTGGACTTCAGTTACGAAGGGCAGAAGCCCCTTTTCAAGAATTTGGACTTTGGAATTGACATGGAATCACGAAGTAAGTGATGTGGAAGGAGAAAAGGTAGAGTTTTCATGCTGACAAGACTTCTGCATACGTGTATCGTTGGCGTTTCTTTTTTTTTTAAATTATTTTATTAATGGACAACAGAAAGAAAAATATTTAAAAACAATGAATGTGGTGCTTACATAACAAATAAGTAAAAAAATACAAATTAACATATATAACATATACACAAATATTAATCATCGTTAATACAGTTACTCCTTTCTTTTTTAAACCAGTGGTAAAACTTCTCCCAAATTTATCTTTTAACTCTTGAGTTACTCTATCCATTTCAGCGCACATCCAAATTTTCCTAATTATTTCCATCTCACCTGGCATGGCATATCATTGCCTTTCCATCTCTGGGCCAGGGCTAATCTCACAGCAGTGGTAACATGGATTATTAAGTATATTATCTCTTTGTTATATTTCCCCACGTTTCTTGATTTCTGAAAGGGAAATCCTCACAGGACTTTCTCCTTTTTAAAAATTTAAAAGTGCTGCATCTGGGAAAAGTCACTTCTCTCTCCTGCTTTTGATTTAGTCCTCAACTTTCCACCGCAAGCGAGCCCAAAATTTCCATTGCTAAAACAAAACAGTTGTTAAGCAAGTTTGTCCCGTTTTACAACCTTTTCTCCCACCATTGTTCAGTGAGTCACTGCAGTTGTTAAGTTAGTAACCCAGTTGTTAAGTGAATCTGGCTTCCCCTTTGAATTTGCTTGTCACAAGGTTGCAAAGGGGGATTCGGTGACCCTGGGACTTCAACCATCTGTCAGCCATATACCACGCTGCCACACATACCCTGAGAAAGTGGGAGGAGGGTGATTTCAATTGAGTAGCTCTAAGTAGACAAAATAAAAATTCTTTTCTCAGTTCAAGGTTATTAAGTGTGGTGCAGCAAGGAAAAAAAGATCTTACACTGGGACAGATTGTGATTGGTCCATGTGATGTGATGATGGGGAAAAAGTGGGATGGATTGTAGTTTGGGACATTGTGGGAAGTCCGGGAAACTTTTAGTTCTGAGATTCCACAGATGTGCCAGGTGCTATTCTAATAAAGGTACTTTTGAGATTATGCTTGTCTCGGAGTTACTGATTGGAATGGAGGTTCCCTGGAACACTGACACCATCATAAATATCAGACAGTTGTCAAGCATCTGAATTTTGATCACATGACCACAGGGATGCTTCAACAGTCATAAGTGTGAAAAATGGCCATAAGTCACTTTTTTCAGTGCTGCTTCAAATGGCCACTAAACGAACTTCAAATGGCCACTAAATGAATGATCGTAAATCTAGGGCTAACAGTATGGAAAGATGGCAGGGGGGGAAAATGTCACGATTCTTAAAAACTTTGTCTGCCTGGCACCATTTTGTTACTAATGATAATCTCTTCTCTTTTTCCTGCTTCTCAGTCTGTATCGTGGGCCCCAATGGGGTGGGGAAAAGTACACTATTATTGCTATTAACCGGGAAGCTTACACCGGTAAGTACCATCTGTTCAAACTTTGGCTCCTCTTGGTGTGGATTGTCCTCCCCTGAGATTTCCTTTTCTCTCTTTTGGGCCCTTTTTGACTGAGCCCTAGACGAGTGCAAGTGATTAGTGGGGGAAGATTTTAGGACGAGTCCGTGAAAAATGGCTTCTCTTTTAATCTGAGGGGATTGCAAGGGAAGAGAAAATCAAGGCAGTGTTAACTTCCTGTTTTTCTTGTCATCTTTCCAGACCAGAGGAGAAATGAGGAAAAACCACAGGCTAGTAAGTATCAATGAGATTTCAATTGGAAAGTGGTGGGAAGGCAGTGTACAATTTGAGGAGGATGGGGTGTGTGTGCTATATTGGAGTGGAAATCAGAGCTAGCAGTCAGGGTAGGAAGTCTTTAGTCATAGGAAGCTGTACACACATGGCAGTTGTAGCTTTGTGTTGGTATACTCTGCTTGGAGAGGGGATAGTTTGCTTGCAAGATATCCGATAAACCTTTTGGTCTTTCACGTATTAGTATCTCTGCATGCAGCTGCTTCTTCATAGCAATAGCACTTATATCAGTGGTGGGAATAAAAAAAATGTATTACCAGTTCTATGGGCATGGTTTGGTGGGTATGATGTGGCTTGGTGGGCATGACTTGGTGGGCATGGCAGGGGAAGGATACTGTAAAATCTCCATTCCCTCTCCACTCCTGGGGAAGGTTACTGCAAAATCCCATTCCCTCCCCACCCCACTAACCTGCTTTCCAGCTCCATTCTCCTCTGCAGGGCAACAAAAGAAGACCCAGCCAATCAGCTGGGACTCGGGAGGCGGGGAATAGATGGGGCGGGACTAGCCAGAGGTGGTATTTGCCGGTTCTCCAAACTACTCAAAATTTCCACTACCAGTTCTCCAGAAATGGTCAAAACCTGCTGAATACCACCTCTGACTTATATACCGCTTTATAGTGCTTTCCAGCCCTCTCTAAGCGGTTTACAGAGTCAGCATACTTCCCCCAATAATTTGGGTCCTCCTTTTACCCACCTCTGAAGGAGGGAAGGCTGAGTCAACCTTGAGCCTGGTGAGATTTGATCTGACAAATTGTAGGCAGCTGGCTTGCAGGACTGCACTCTAACTACTACGCCACCGAGACTCTTGGTGATGTGATCTGAATGACGTGAGTGAAGCTTCCATGGCCGTTTGAGTGAGGTTTCACCCGATTTTCCTCTTTTTTTTTCCTCTCCCCTCCTGGTAGAAAGTTGGCTTCTTCAACCAGCAGTATGCCGATCAGCTGAACATGCAGGAAACGGCCACTGAATATCTTCAGCGCAATTTCAATCTGCCTTATCAAGATGCCCGTAAATGTTTGGGGCGGTTTGGTCTCGAGAGCCACGCTCACACCATCCAGATTTGCAAGCTGTCTGGTATGGGAGACATTTCTTGGGAGAAGGGAAGGGGTGGGCGGTGGAGGGTCAAGAGCTTCACAAGGAAGGATGAGGACTGCTAGCCGTAGCTTTCTTCATTTTGGTATGGTCCAAATGCGCTGGATAATAAACCGTAGCTACGCACACCTGCGTAGCTCATAAAATGTTGGAGTTTTAGTGATTAACAGTCCATCTATGTCATGAGCAAGACATAAGATGCAGGCTGTGGAAAGTTGGGTCAACGCTGACAGCCTTCAAAGGGGACTTGGGTTTTTAAGAAGCGGTGACCCCCACACCCTGTTTATCCTTCCAGATGACCTTTCAAATTCTGATAGGCGATTCTATCTGCATCAGTTTTGAGGAAGCTAGCATGTTTTTGCTAAGTTTCTAATTCCTCCTTTGGTTTTTTTTTCTTTTTCTCCCCATTACCAGGGGGACAAAAAGCTCGCGTAGTATTTGCTGAATTGGCTTGTAGAGAGCCAGACGTCCTTATTCTGGTGAGTTATATCTACAATCATCTATATTGAAGCCTGTGGCGTTTCCCCCCAGCAACCCCAAATCGTCACCTTGTCTCCTGCTGCACTAGCATGTTTCATAGGCTGTCAGCACCGTTATCCCACTGTGGAAGCTGAAGAGAAGTCCTTAAATGTCTCCTCATTCCCTTTCCCCCAGGATGAACCTACGAATAATCTGGATATTGAATCCATCGATGCCTTGGGAGATGCTATCAACGACTATAAAGGAGGTGAGTGAAAGCTTGTTGGCTCTGAATTCCGGTGGCAATAATACATGGATGGATACACCTCTGCTTGCTGTTCTATGCTGTCCACACAAACTGGATTGGTGGTAGAAGGAAGGGACCAGGCATTCCTAAAGTGACAGTGGGTTTGTCCTATCCTGTCCCATATCTTGCCTTTGTTATTGTAAATCAACTTTGCTCTATCCTATCACTTGACAGGATGGGAAAGACTTAAGGGCACCATCTTAGTACCTAAGAATGATAAAAGTTTCTGGCCAAGTCACTATGAATGCCAGAACTAATACGTTTGTAGGTCAGGGTTAACTGAATAATTTGTACATAAGCACAATTGAAGTAGCTATGCACAGCCATATTGGGCGTTGCTGCAGATCTGGAAGGCAGCAACCCCGACATAAACAGGGCTAAAACTTCACATTTTGAGGGGTTTTGAGGATTCTTAGTGATTCCTCAATCCCACTGTAAGTGTTAAAATACTTACGTTAACCATTCACTCCTCCAAGTCCCCAAGGAAGAAAAAAAAGTAAAGATAAGCCAGATTTTTAGGCTTGCTCGTTCTGATGGCCACCGAAGAAATGTTTGATGGGCTGCATTTTTTTTTTACACCTTCAACCTTGGATATTTGATGTCTTAAGAAATAATTGCTTTTTAAACGATTAGATAAGTTTGGGGGAGCTTATATGGGAGGAAAAGAAACCCCCAGTTCGCCTGCCTCTGGCTTTAGTAACTGGAATTGCCACTTGGCAGATGTTCAGTTCCGAATGGCAATCTTTGGACAGCTCTTGAGGGCACCCAAGGAAGAACTGTGTATGTGTGTTTTTTAATGGGGGTTTGGAGGTCTTGCTTCACCCATCTTGTCTTTTCCAGCGGTGATCGTTGTCAGCCATGATGCTCGGCTTATCACGGAGACCAACTGCCATCTGTGGGTGGTGGAGGACCAGACTGTCAATCAAATTGACGGCGACTTTGAAGACTACAAGCGTGAAGTGCTGGAAGCCTTGGGTGAAGTCCTAGTCAATCGACCAAGGGAATGAGGCCGCGAGAAGCGGAGTCACCGGAACGTGCACAGCCATTTTTTCCAATGGAAACTCCGCCCTCTCAAATAGCAGGGCTTTATTTATGTGACACGGAGGGACAGATCTGAACGTATGCAAGGAATTAAAATCTGTTGATAGTTTTAACTCTTCTTCCTTTTCCTCTCCCACTCGCATGGAAAGCGAACTTCTCCAAAGGTGATGGGTGGGTGTCCCATCATGCCTCCCATCCCCGAGCAGACATCTTGGAGGACCACTCTCGCTTGACAAATCTCTCTCCTTTCCTTCCACTATTTTTGGGAATAGTTGGAACACAACATGTAAACTTAATAAATTAAACTGTGGCCGGCACTCTTGTGGATGGAGTTCCCTGGGTTGTTGTTTTTTTATATTTTGGTCAATACAGGTAGTCGTCGACTTAACGACCACAATGGAACCCAACATTTTATTTGCTAAGCAAGACAGTTCAAGTGAATTTCGCCCCATCTTATGGCTTTCCTTGCCACAGTTGTTAAGTGATTCACTGCAATTATTAAGTTATTAACACGGTTGTTACGATATTGAATCTGCCTTCCCCGCTGACTTTGCTTGTCAGAAGGTGACAAATGGTGATCGCATGACACACACACACACACACATCGGGACATGGCAACCGTCATAAATATGAGTCACTTGCCAAGTGTCTGAATTTTGACCAGGTGACCATGAGGATGCTCTTAACGGTCATAATTGTGAAAAAGGGTCATAAGTCACTTTTGCTATAGTGGCGAATATCTGTAGCTCTGGTGTAGGATGAGGGTGAAGGTTCGTTCTCCGAGCTTGTGGGTTGGTTTCCAAACGTTTCGTTACCAGGCTAGGTAACGTCTTCAGCGGAATTGAGGTCATGTCAGTGTCGGTGTGCTTCTGTTTATAAGGGCTTCAGGAGTGGGGTGTCAAGTAAGGGTCTTATAACACAGGGGTCTCCAACCTTGGCAACTTTAAGACTGGTGGACTTCAACTCCCAGAATTCTGGGAGTTGAAGTCCACCAGACTTAAAGTTGCCAAGGTTGGAGACTCCTGTTGTGACAGGTCTTGAGGGAATAGAAGAGAAACTTACCAAATTTGCAGATGATACTAAGCTGGCAGGAATAGCTAACACCCAAGAAGATAGGCTCAAGATCCACATGGATCTTGACAGACTACAACACTGGGGTGTATGATCTAACAAAATGAAATTCAATGTAGAGAAAAGTAAAGTCCTACACTTAGGCAAGAAAAACCAAAAGTACACATATAGACTAGGTAAAACCAGGCTCAATAGCAGTAACTGTGAGAGGGATCTTGGAGTCTTAGTGGACAACCAGCTAAATATGAGCCAGCAGTGTGGAGCAGCAGCCAAAAAAGCTAATGCAATCCTAAGTTCCATTAACAGAGGGATACAATCGAGATCAAGGGAAGTACTAAAACCACTCTATAAAGCCTTAGTAAGACCACACCTAGAGTACTGCATCCAGTTTTGGTCACCACATTATAAAAAAGATGTTGAGACTCTAGAAAAAGTGCAGAGAAGAGCAACCAGGATGATTAGGGGACTGGAGGCTAAAACATACAGGAACTGGGCTTGGCTAGTCTAGGGAAGAGAAGGACCAGGGGAGACATGGTAGCAGTCTTCCAATATTTGAGGGTCTGCCACAGAGAGGAAGTGGTCAATCTATTTTCTAATCTAAAGCACCCGAAGGCCAGACAAGGAACAATGGATGAAAACTGAAGAAGGAGAGATTTAAACCTAGAAATAAGGATAAACTTTCTGACAGAACAATCAACCAATGGAACAGCTTTGCCTTCAGAAGTTGTGGGAGCACCATCACTTGAGGCTTTCAAGAAGAGATTGGACTGCCATCTGTCAGAAATGGTGTAAGATCTCATGCTTGGGCAGGGGGTTGGACTAGATGACCTACAAGGTCCCTTCCAACTCTGATTATCTGTTATCTGTGGGTCTTGTGATAAGGAGATTACCTCAGGGTCATTGGAAGGTGAACTGCTGGTGTGTGTGAGTGGGGGAGGAGTGGAATTGCATGAATTGGTTGAAGGCCGATGCCTTCTCTGGTTGGTAAACTCCGTTGTAACTTGAAACGATTACTAAACGAAGGGATGTGAGTCGAGATCTATCTCTTCAGGTTGCACTTTTTGGTGTGTATCGTTTTTAGTCACAAATAAATTTGCGGAGAAAGCAAACGAAGCTCACAACATTCAGTACTCTACCTCAAGGGATGTTCTTTTCCTTCAGCTGGGAGAAACCAAGAGGACAGTGAGAATGCGTTTGCCTATACTAGAGATTGTGGATTATCCACTTCTGCAGCTTTCGGAGAAAATAGGACAGTCCCCTCTCAAGAATTGTTTAATGCACTTTCTTGTGGATTGTAGAAGGTTGGATTAAATGATCCTTGTGATCCCTTCCAACACCACGATTCTTTGGTTCTGAGCCCACTTGGCAAGACCAATGGGAAAAAATGATCATAGCAATATTTTCAACTGTCCCCTTATCCTGAGAAACTCCTAACTTGGCAGTAGTCTAAGTTATAAAGGATAGGCAGTCCCTTCCTTCTTGATCTGTTGTACAACTCCCATTGTTCCTCCTGATTGATCCGAAAGGTGCTTTTTCAAGAGGCAACCAGTTCTGTTGGCATGGCATGGCTTGGTGGGCGTGGCAGGGGAAGGATACTGCAAAATCCCATTCCCTCCCTACCCCACTAACCTGCTTTCCAGCTCCGTTCTCCTGTGCAGGGCAACGAAAGAAGACCCAGCCGATCAGCTGGGACTCGGGAGGCAGAGAATAGATGGGGCGGGGCCAGTCAGAGGTGGTATTTGCCAATTCTCCAAACTACTCAAAATTTCCGCTACCGGTTCTCCAAAACTGGTCAGAACCTGCTGAATGCCACCTCTGAACTGGACTGTTTTGTTTTTTCTTTGAAGACGCTTCCCTTCTCATCCAAGAAGCTTCTTCAGCTCTGACTAGATGGTGAGGAATGGAAGGATTCTTCCATTCCCCACCGTTCAGTTAAAGCTGAAGAAGCTTCTTGGATGAGAAGCGAAGCATCTTCAAAGAAAAAAACAGGAAGTCCAGTTGCCTCTTGAACCAGGAACCTTAAATGGGTTTACTTCTTTTCAAGCTACATGCTTATCTTGAATCTTGCTGAAGGTTAAACAGGTGTACTCACTGTGTATGTCAACACTTGTTGACATACAAACGTTGCTGATTTTCAGTTTAATCTTCTTTTTGAACTTCAGTATTTACGTCACATCTCTTCCAATCCCATGGATACCCCAATAGGGTTCAACCCAAAGCAGTTCATAGGTTTTTTTTTAATGACATACTCCACTAGGGCCACACTACACAATTTCACCACAGTCATCCTCAAGATGCTCCCCAGATAGCAATAAGAAATAACTTGGATTGCTGTTGCTTTTACACATAAAGCAGAAATGCTTCTTAAGGTCTTTTTCACTTGCAATTTGGTTTGATCTTAAAAATAGGAGTTAGAAATCCCAGAGAAATTCAAACAATTTCTTAAGTAAGAACCAATCAACCAATGGTACAGCTCAATCAACCAATGGAAGAGAAGTTGCCTTCGGAAGTTGTGAGAGCTTCATCACTTGAGACTTTCAAGAAGAGATTGGACTGCCATTGGTCAGAAATGGTGTAGGGTCTCCTGCTTGGGTGGCGTGTTGGACTAGATGACCTACAAGGTCCCTTCCAACTCTGTTAATCTAATCTAATCTAAATGCTCTCTGAATGTGTTTAAGGCCATCATCCAACATGGTAAAGTAAATCAGAACCAAAGTAGCCTGTACAAAACCCCTGTTATGATCCACATAGCAGTGAGCTTGGGTCAAATGCATTTTCCACAAAGAAAATAGGTTTCAAAAATGATACTTTTTATGACATAAAAATCTTTTTCCATGTGGTATTAAGTCTTTAGAATTTGAATCAGAATCTATTGCGATGACCTGCCAACTCCAATGATGTGGAGGAAATAGATGGGTGTATATGGATCAAGATACAATATTCAGAGAATGGATGTTTTTAGGTAAGTTATAAGAGAAAAAAATATGTACAGCAAGAGGTCTTTGAAATTCCAAGATCCAAGCTCTTTTCCTCTGTTTTCTCTTTATTAAATTGTACATACTGAATTCATCCTCCAATATTATACAGATACTAACATTGTTACCATTTGAATTACAAGTAAGCAATATATAATTCATAACACAAAGTAAAATTAAACAAATATCCAGGTTTTTGTATCATCAACAAAATTTCCCCAGGTTATTTAAAATTTCCTCCTTTGCTGCAGGATAAAGATTGACTTCCTTGTTGACATACAAACATTGTAATTAGCAAATTGAATGGATTTAGTCTTCTGATATTACATAGTAATTTGTTGGCTTGCCCACTCCTGGAGAAGCAGGGTCTTGAGCAATACCAGTATGTACTAAGGATGTTCCTTCCGCATGTGCCCAGATGCACAACACAGATTTGATTGGAGGCCACTGTATCGGGGTGAACAGCCCCCTATTACTGTACTTTAAAAAATCAATAAATAGCTTTCTTGAAACCCACACCATTACCCAGAATACGTAGTGCAAAAAGGAGTAGGCATACACCATGTTTTTACCTCAGTCTTGTATTTACATTTTAGCCTTTGCAGCCTTTAGCCTTGTGATTTGTTATTGAAACTCTCTTAGAGAATCTAGATCTTGCATTTCCTTCCACCCTCGACTGAAAGTAAAATGTGACCCTTTATTTCCTGTTTACTTAATTCTGTGATGAATTTCTAGCTTTTGACCATTTGTATCAATACAAGAGAGAAAAACATACCGACCCTGGATTAATTCTCGTGCAGATATACAGATGAGCTTCACCTAAGTATTTAATTCAATAAAGGTTTCAATATTGCTGCAGACGGCCATCTCTAGATCAAATCCCAAGGCTGCTTGAGAATTCCCAGGGCATGCTAAGATACTACCCTAACCATCTGCACACAGTAATCACCCTCAAATCCATCCTGCATACAAGAAGTGTTTTATGACACTGGCCTACCTCACAGGACATGCTGTTATAATGTTCACTTTAGGCTTAATCTGTCAGGTGGCCTAATCACTGTGGTTTTAAGCAACCTCAATTTCATGGTAGTTTTTGTAGCAAACCATGACTTAATATATGCAGAATCCCTGCCATTATAATGAGGAAGGAATGAGCAAGGAAACAGTATGTTTACTACAAGGGGGAAAGATAATTGAGCAACAGGTTAAATAGCATACTTTATGCTTGGAAGTAGCTACCTTTTAAATCAGCCTCTTTGCACCCTGTAGATTATTT